ATACGTTGTATGATATACAGTTTTAAGTGGAACAGTTGCCTGCTTCTTGCTAATGATGGAGTTACCTTAGCATCATTTTGAATGTTTCATCATTCATCCCATTATTATTTTAAAAGCTATTAAATACTTAACATCCCCTGAAAAGCAAAACAAAACCCCAAACTCCATCCCACACCAAATACAAAAAAAACAGCCAAATGATAGATCACAGTTGGAAACAGAAACAGTGTTGTCTTTGTCAGGCTATGACGAAGGTTATTCCATAGGGTGTTTCCTATGGAAAAGCCATAGTTGTTGCTGCCCATCAAGCTTCCGACATCTGAGGAATTTGGAACAGGGCCTTAAATGATGAATAGATCATATGATGATAGACACAGAGGAGAAAATGATCTGCAAGGTGCCTCAGTCCATTTATAACTTTGAAGACACCATGTATTGTGTTCTGGGAACAGAATACTGCCGAGATCACTCATATAAGGGTTATTTTTTTTTCATTGTTTTGACCATAACATAGTTTTCTATTTATAGTGGGATATATCTGATTTTTTGGCTTTCCCAAAATTTAACTATTTAAATCTAATTTTAATTTTGATTTCAAGAAGCTATGGATGGACACTAATCAAAGAGAGAAGCAGCCTAGATTTCAGGAGAAATTTCCTGACAGCTAGAACAATTAGTCAGTGGAATGACTTGCCTCCAGAAGTCGTGGATGCTCCAACACTGGAAGTTTTTAAGAAGGGATTGGACAACCATTTGTCTGAAATGGTATAGGGTTTCCTGCTCAAGCTATGGGTTGGACTAGAAGGCCCCTTCCAACTCTGTTGTTCTGTTCTGTCCTGTTCAATTTAAATAGTGATTTATGCACTGGTGAAGAAGCTTCTATAATAATAATTTCTAAATGTATTCTTGTTGTTTATTATAACCTGAATACATACTTCGTGTGTGCTGCTTCAAGAGAAGGAGAAAGTTCAGTTTTGAAAAATATATAATATATAAAGCAATTTGTTAGATTTTTTCCCCCCCAAGTTCATCTAACAAAAAATGGAATGATGATCTTAGTACTAAGAAAACAGGTCACAGTTATAAAATCAGCTCCATTTTAATTAATTGTTATGGATGATTTGGAAAATATTTTTTTGCCATGATATGTTAGAACAACCACTGCTATTTTTAAATGGTATTAATATCGTTTTGTTTCGGAAGTTTTCTTATCTTTACAAAAAAACAAGGGCATGCATTTTCAATTTTCTCAGTTTTAAACTTTTTAAATTAAAGATATGTAATTTCAGTCAAGACAATACAAAAAAAGTAAAACATTTTGTGGCTGGCCAGTTCAATCTTCATCATTTTTTTCATAGCTGAAAAGCAAAGACAGGCCTTCCTGTTTTATATCCGTTCCCAAGTTCATGGTATGAATTTAGTTACTACAAATAAGAAATACTCTTTTTATTACCATGGTATTGCTGTTAAAGGTTGAGCGTGATTTCTACTGTAGTTTTCTTTAAAGGTTTCTATTTTTCCCCATGGCTTTGAAATTTGAAGAACGTTTCTGAAAATGGCAACTGGTACAAAACACAACAGCCTGATTCCTGGCAGGCATAACCTGCCAAGAGCATATTACACCTGTATTTCAATGCCCTACATTAGTCACCACTTGGTTTCTGGATATAATTTACCACGATGGTTTTTATTTATAAAGGCATATCTGGCTTGACACCTGGATGCTTACAAGACCTGCTTCTCCTACCAGGTCACCCTGTTCATTATGCTCATCCCAGAAGGTTGATTGTTGTACTTCTACAAACAGAGAAAAATTAAAACCACAAGGTGGCTGATTTTCCATTACTGCCCCAATCCTGTGGAATAGTTTCCTCTTAAAATTAAAGTTTAACTGTTAACTTTGTTCCATTTATAATGCTAATGTCCTACACTTTTATTATGACCTACTTACAGGTAGTCCTCAACTTGCCACCATTTGTTTAGTAACTGAAGTGACAACCGGTTTTCACTTAACCACCGTTGTAGCCATCCCTCTGGTCATATTATCAGGATTGTATAACAACAGCTGCAAAATATTACAAAAATGAATGAAAGATACATTACATGACCATTTCAATTGTATGCTTTTAGAATGTGGAGTTCCTTGTGTTTTTTTTTTCCTAATGTAAAGGCTCACAAAATGGACACTATAAATACAAGAGCAACACAAAGCAGCAAATTAGAATGATGCATACACTTTGGAAATGTCCATGACTTTAAATGTTCTATTTCTACAATTATTTGTTTGTGAGCAATTGTGTTCTATAATTGTGAGAGACTGTCTTGGGCATTCTTTTTGTTACCTGTTAAGAGAATAGCCTCACCAGTTTTCACAAGAGCTCAGTGGCTGAGGAAGTTCCTTCTGAAGGGAAAATCCAATTGCTGACATTTCTGTCATTTTATCCTATTCTCTTTCAACATATTTTATTAACAAAATTCTGAATATCTTGCTCTCTGTGGAGGTGGAGTGTCTAAAAACTTGAAATTTTCTTTCATGTTATGGCTCACTTGTGGGAAAAAATACAAGCAGTAGAAGAATGAATGCACAGTCTTGTAGGGGAGAGACTTATAATGTTCCCAAGTATTCATTAAGTGTTTGGTTATGAGTGCAAATTTATATTAAAATTAATTGATAATGTTTAAAATGTTTTTTTAGTTTTTTGTTTTTACTTTGAAAGACTAATATGGGTACTCTCCTGTTTTTGGAAAGTCTTAACAAAATTTGCAAACTTCTGCACAGAGTTTAGAATGATTGATTTGGGTGCTACTTAATTCCCTTTTTTGTGTGTGATATCAGAGTAGTTAATGTATTTACCTGAGATTAGAGGAATATTTGTTACGGTTCATGATGAAGATGACAAATGGCATAACTAAAAATACTTCAATTGATTTATATTGCTTTTATTACTCTTTTCCACCCCTACCTTTATCATATGCAAATCTGTTAAGATACTTTGGAGGGAAAAATGTGGACTTTGTAATGAACAGCATGATTTCACATCCAGGTTTAAAAGAACTAGGATCAACTTCCTGTTGTCTGAGTAGAGAAACAGCACATTACACTGGTGGCTAGTGATAGTGGTACTGTCAAAAAGGATCTTTATATTCTTTTTGGGAACGGAAGTCTAGAATGTAATGAAGGAAGATGTTCCCCTACAAAAATGAGTTCTTGATGGGTGTTCGGATGCCAGCACTGTTTGAATGATCCAGACATCATGGAGTGGCTTTTCAGATACATACATACATACATACATACATACATACATACATACATACATACATATATTTATTAGTGATGCAAATGTTGGAGTTGTTGGGGAGGCTTATAAAATGTACAGAGAAAATATGATACATTATAATCAATAATTAAAAAAAAAAAAAACCAGGTTCCTACATATATCAGGGACCAGCCCCAGATAAAGAGTCAGGTCTTTAAAGACTTACAAAAACCCAGCAGGGTCGGGGCCAACCTGATCTACAGCGGGAATATGTTTTCTTAATTACAAACCTGTATTTACCTTAGAGTAAATCCCATCGAATGTTATAGGAATTACTTCTTAGTAAACATCACAATATATCAGATGGTATCTATTTGGCAGTGATATGATATCCATCAGCAGATTTGATTCCCAATTCCCATCCAGTGCTCTTCAAAATCTGTGCCAGAATACATCAGAGGTAGTATGAAAAGGTGCAGCAGTGGAGATGAAAAGAAAGAAATGTTGTGCAAGCAGAATTCACCAATTCTGCTTTTCAATAGCCTAAAGCAGTGGTTCCCAAACCTTTTAAGTCCACCACCCCCTTGGTGCTACAAACTCATCCTCGGTGCCCCCCACCCAGGGGTGGGATTCCAATTTCTGTGGGCATGGCCTAATTTGAGGGTGTGGCTTGCTGGTCACATGACTGGGTGGGTGTGGTTTGCTGGTCATGTGACTGGTTGGGCATGGCCAGGTGACTGGCAATCCAAATACAAGTGGTCCTCACTTAATGGCCGGTTGTTTAGCAAGCATTCTAATTTATGACTGGGGTGAGCCTGCAGGGCCGGTGCCTCGAACGCCCCCTGCCGCTTCTTAGCGCCACCTGGGGGGCTGGCAGAGGTGCGCTAAGAGGTGGCAGGGGGGAATTGGATGCGCCAGCCAGCCCTGCAGGTTCACTCATTGACTAGCACCGCTCCGGAGCCGTTGCCTCCAATGCGGAAGTGGTGGCACGTTACGTGCCACCATGGCCGCGTTCGATGCGCCACCCCCTGCTGCCTCTTAGCACCCCTCTGCTGGCCCCCTTGGGGACACTAAGAGGCAGCAGGGGGGCATTCGAGGTGCCAGCCCTGCAGGTTCACCCATTGACTGTAGCACCGCTCCAGAGCCGGTGCCTCAATGAGTGAAACTGCAGGGCCAGCTGGCACCTCGAATGCCTCCCTGCCACCTCTTAGTGCCCCTCTGCCAGCCCCCTTGGGGATGCTAAGAGGTGGCAGGGGGCAGCATGTCAAACGCGATCGCGGCGGCACATGACGTGCCGCCACTTCCGCATTGGAGGCGCCGGCTCCGGAGTGGTGCTACAGTCAAAGAGTGAACCTGCAAGACCAGCGCCTCGAATGCCCCCCGCCGCCTGTTAGTGCCCCCCCCCCGGCCCCCCCCCCCCTTTGCCCCCCCCCCCCCCAGGGCATCCCCCCCCCCAGGGAGCAGTACTGCCCACTTTTGGAATCACTAGCCTAAAGTATGTATAATATGAACTATAGTAAGTGAAATATAGAATATGCAACCATGTAAAATATAAGTTAAATTCCATTCTGAAAGATTTGTTCATAAAATATGGATAAACATCATATGCAAATGGGAAGCTTGTGTATTTGGCATCTCATGATTCTATATATGTTCAAATATTTATGGAGTAAGGAAAGATGAAATTTCTAAAATAATCTTCCTTTGTTTTTTTTCTTTTCTCCCTTTTTTCTTTTTTTCTAGGATGGTTTAAAGTCCTTAGTCCTTGATCTGGATTATCCAGCACTGAGGAAGAACAAAAACATAGATAATTTCCTTAACAGATGTAAGTTTTTCTTATGTATAATATCCCTATGTAGATGAAGAATATTTATATATACATTATATAACATTTTTATTTGCTATATCTGCATAAGCTTGCCCCTAATTTCTAAAAGAGATTTGTTATAACGCTATTATGATAATGGACTCTGCCAATAGTAATTTAATATCATCATATTCTGGAACCCTCAAACTATACATTTAATTCTCGACAAAATGGGAGAACCAGTTGGTGTCGTGGTTAAAGGTATTACACCAGAAATCAGAAGACTTGTCTCAGGCACAAAACCAGCTGGGTGACTTTGTGCCATCACACAACTCAGCTCTGAAAAACAGGCAATGACGAACCACTTATGAAATATAATCTTGCCAAGAAAGCTGCATGGACTTGTCCAAGCAGTTGCCAGGAGTCAAGACTAGCTTGAAGTGGGTGATGGTGGTGGAGAGAATCCAAAATAGTATGATTTGATTTCAAGGGTCAATGATAAAAAAAAAAGTTAAAATATAATAATATTTTAATGTACTTTTAACATTTCTTATAATTAAATTTCATAGTTAAAGTATTCCTGATTATGGTGGGTAAATTTAACAACTAATGCTGTTTTACATGGTTTTATTCAGTTTTGCTATTTATGTATACATGTAATCCTTGACTTACAGCCATTCATTTAATGACCATTCAGAGTTGCAACAGCACAGAAAATAGTAACATGACCCAATTTTCACATTTCTGATTATTGCAAGATTCCCACAGTCATATAATCAAACTATGGGTGCTTGGCAACTGGCATGTATTTACAATAGTTGCAGCATCCTGGGTTTTGGGATTGTCATTTGCAACTTTCTTAGGGGGCTTTTGACAAGCAAAGTCAATGGCGGAAGCCAGATTTGCTTAACAACCACATGATTCACTTAACAGCTTCACAATTCACTTAACAATCCTGTCAAAAATGGTGGCAGAATGGGACATGTCTCATTGAATAACTTCTTGCTTACAAAATAAATGTTTGGGTCAATTATGGTCATAAGTTGAGGGCCACCTGTACTTATTGATTTAAGGCCTGATTTTTCTTATTTTGCAAAGAAAATATTTTGCACTGGACTTTTTAAAAGGAACTGTTTTCTTTATGCATTGCGCTGAAAATACAGCCTGACTTTGCAGATTAAATGGTCTATGCCAATTGTAATTACTAGTCTTAAATTTCTGTATTGTTAGTGGCTTAATGTGTATTATCTTTTGTGGATATTATTTTAATAGCACAAATATTTTTCTTTAAACTTTTTTAGATGAAAAAATTGTACAAAAAATGCGTGATCTTCAAATGAAAGTAGAAGATTATGATGTTGTTAAAGTGATTGGAAGAGGTGCATTTGGTGAAGTACAGCTGGTAAGAACTTAATATCAACATGAAACAATTGGGTTTCCATTAATTTTCTTAGGAATAATGTTTTTCTTTATGGCCATACTGCTTCATATTTACTTGCTTCAGGCTCCTTCGGTTAGTGGGTAATCTCAGAATAATTTAAATAAGGTTATGAATAAATAAAGTAAATAAGCAAATATAAATAACATGCATTGGAGCAAAAGTGCATATTTAATTTACACTGATAAGTATGAACTAATTATGGATTACCAGTGGGTTAATAGAAAGTTTGTGAAGATTACAGAATAGTGAATGGCCATTTTTTAAAAAGAAAAAAATATTTCTAGATAATAAAAGAAAGTATGACTTTATGTTGTACATTGACATGGAATCCGTTACAAAATTTAAAGATTGACAGCAACCTTGCTATATTGGATGAATTGTGGGATGATGAGAAAATTATTGGGCTGTTGCTATGATGATTGCATATTATCTTCAGTAATGGAAGCATTGGTTTATTGATTCCAGTTATAAGAGAATATTGGTGTGTTTGTGCCTTTCTGTTTTGTTTTGCGGTTCCTCTTGGCGTTTTGTTGGCCATTATGGAAAAACACCGTTGGACAACAGGGGTCTCTGGTCAAATTCAGCAAGGCTGATTTATATTTTTATGTAGAAGATTCGCAAATCAGTATGTTATTATTAGACATAACAGATTTTTGAGATATGAATACTACACAATTATTGCCAGAATTCTTCAGAATGAAACACATGCTTTAATCATGGGTCTGAAAGATGCATATGTATTAAAGCTGTTTTGGAGCTTTAATTTAATTGGTCCATAGGAAAGAGCCAAATTCTGACTATTAACATCAGAAGTGTTTCTTTTCTAAAGATGGTGCTAACACAGTTTTTGGTGCTTGGGAATTACAAATGTTTATATGCAATATAGACAAGTGTGAAACATTTCTATGATTCTATAATAAATGGCTTGAAGAGGGGGGTTTTTTCTAGAATGTCTTTGTCTGTTTCTCATCTTTTCTCCTTAAGGGGGGATGGAAGGAATTGCCACAAAAACAATTTTTGTTTCTGTACCAATTGGATGTTAGATCTGTCCTCAACTTCTTGATGATGGTACCAGCACTGAATGCCCCATCATGGACATTTATTTTGTTTTGTAATAAGTGCTTTTTTAAAAGAAAGAGGGTGTGTATTTGGCTGACTATCCTGTAAAAGTGTATTCCCTTTGCCTGATGATTTAATTATACTTTCTTTCTAAGAGTTCTACCCTTCAGGTTTCATTAAGTGTTCATTTTCATTAAGTGTTGTACCTTATGATTCTTGAAGAATGTATCTTTTCTTTCATGTATACCGAGAGTATTTGCACCAAGACAAATTCCTTGTGTGTCCAATCACACTTGGCCAATAAAGGTTTCTGGTCTTTCAAATTCTATGTCTTGGAGGCTGTTGCTTTTCAGTATTCAGATAAGCTTAGGGGATTGTTCTTTGGTATTTGTTATTGGTTCTCCATATCCAACTTTCTATATTATTTAAATCCTGCTATTTTTTTAATCAGGTTCGCCATAAAACAACGCAGAAAGTATATGCCATGAAGCTGCTTAGTAAATTTGAGATGTTAAAAAGGTCAGATTCAGCTTTCTTCTGGGAAGAGAGAGATATAATGGCTTTTGCTAATAGTCCATGGGTAGTTCAGGTATGGATATTTCATGTGTACAAAGTTTGGTGGTAATTTAAGGGAAATGTAAATAAATGGGGAAAATATAAATAAGTGAAAGAGGAATTTTTATGTTTAGAATTTGGTATAAATAGTAAACTGCTCATATAATTCGTTGATTTAAAATATACACATTTCTGTGCACTATTAGTTTTTTGAAAGACAGTCCTTCTATTAGTTTACCAAAGTCCTAGGATTTAGGAATCTCTTACCCATTCAAAAATCATACCAAGGTGATTTATGGTAGCTCATGAAGTAAAGTGACATTTTTAACTTAAAAAAGCAGAAAATAAGGCTTGGAACTAGCAGAAATTTTAACATTTTTGCTAATAACAAGAATTTAGTATTACAAAATAACACTGAAAGCTATAATTATAATACGGATTCTTATCTAATAATTCTCTAAATGGCTGTCACTTTCCATCCTACCCAGTGATAGGTGTAGCTATTGCTTCACATAGGGGGAAAAAACTTATTGATAATGCTATACTTTATTTTCCACTGAAAAGTTTAATGGCACATAATGTTCTGACCTAGGTTTCACAAAACCACGACTCCTTGTCCTGACAAAACCCCTTTTTATTAGGCTAATGTGAATTCCTACCATTCACATTCAGCAAAGTCCTGGCAAACAGTCTTTCAAGGGTGAATGACAACCATAGACCTTATCAGGCTTGGAGAGTTGCCAGGCTGATAGCTTCCAAGCCCAACTCTGTACAAGAAAATACTTGGCAAGGAATCTTTGAGAGTCACAAACAAAACTCACACTAATTATATGAACTAATTATCTCCTGCAAACACCACTCCCCTTTTGCTCCTCTTTATTCCCTATGGGAGGGGTCATTCACCATCCACCTGTGCCTTTACTCCTGAGCCAACCCTTGTTCCTTAACTGTTCCCTTCCCTTGGCAGCTGTCCACATGCGCATATTGGGAACAGGCTCCCGCTGTTCTTCTGCCCCACTGATCTCTGCCTCCAAAGGCAACTGATAACTGTTGGATAGCCCTAGCCCCATCTCTGCCTCTGATGCAGAGCACTCATCAGAGTCTTCCCCAGACTCCAGGACTGGCCCACGTTCCTTCCCAACCTTCTTACTGTCTTGAGTCACAAAACACAAAACCTTTATTTCATTGATGGTAAACTAAATTATTCTGGAACTCATAAAATCTTACAACAGTGGGCATACCTTATTAAAATTGTTTTTTGAGGTTTAAGGGGAAAATGTTAAAATCTAGTATTTTGCTGAGTGTTTAACACGTTGGCAGTCTTTTAGAACTGTTCTTTCTTTTGGAAACAGCTTTTTAGTGCCTTTCAAGATGACAGATACCTATACATGGTAATGGAATACATGCCAGGTGGTGATCTTGTCAACCTCATGAGCAATTATGATGTGCCTGAGAAGTGGGCCAAATTTTACACAGCTGAAGTGGTCCTTGCTCTCGATGCAATTCATTCCATGGGCTTGATACACAGAGATGTGAAACCTGATAATATGCTTTTGGATAAATACGGACATCTGAAGCTAGCAGATTTTGGTACTTGTATGAAAATGGATGAGGTAAGTATCTGGGTCATCGTGTCTGTTTCAAAACCGGTGTGTATA